CTGGATCTCTGACAGACGGACTTCAATCTCTGAACTCGTAAAGTTCTTTTTACTTTTCGCTGTCATTTTCATGAACACTTCCTTGTATCTGAGGTAGGAAACATAGCCTTAATTGGTGTATTTGGGGTGGTAATTATGCTAATCTCCTCTCGCGTGCACGAGCAGCTGGATACGAACAGGTGGAATTTAATCAGCTCATTTACACACTTTTCCTGAAGATAGAAGAGTTTGTTGAATCTGACGTGACGTGTTCGTACGAACCCTTCATATGAACAAAAGTAAGAGAAATTTAGGATAATAATACGAACATGTTCTTGCATGAGGCCCAATGAGTCCTCTCATCCCATTGAAAGAGGTTACACTGCTAAAATAAAAACGTAGGTAGTCTGTGACAACTATTTTGGAAACTCACACACAAAAATTCTGTAACAGCTCTTTCAAGAAGAAAAGATTTAGCAACTGTGAAAACCAACCCCGTTCTCCCCTAAATAATGAGTCTGGATTTATTCAAATTATTTTTTACCTATTGTTTTAAATAACCAGGCTCATCTTTGAGCACACTAAGCTTATTAAAAAACAGGCACATCTATGGGCAGCACACTGCTCTTGACAATATGATATTTTGTCAATGAAACAAGGGTCCTATCGCAGTGGGGACACTTTTTTCAGTACAACACCAAATACAAAAACGGCTCTAACTCAACTAAATCTACAGACATCGAGATAAAAGTTGGTGTTATAGCCGCTGATCTCTCACAACTTATATATTAAGCACAGACTGATTGTCTAAGRTCTGATTTAAACCTTTGCCATAAACTATAACAGTGTGTGTTAGCTAAATATCTCATGAATCACTGAACTGATTTTAACACTATTCATCAAACATGATTATTGGATGTGAATTTACAACTGATGAACTTTCGGTGTCAACCCTATTTAAGATGGCCGCCACAGAAAACTAAACTTAGAAAACACAAATCAGCCATTTTTACAGTCACTGAGGTAAAAACCTGAGTGGTAGCAGCTGAACATCAACCCCAGTACATATTCTGTGCACAAACTGCATAATATTTTGCTTAAAACTTTGACATTAACTGTGTCAGCTCCGTCTGTCTGTTAGGAAAATATCTCGTGAGCCACTGGACCAATTTGAATGAAACTCTCGGAAAGCAATCACCTGGTGCACATATAAAAGTGATTAACTTTTGGAGTCGACCCAATTCAAGATGACTGTCACAACTAATCAAATTTAATCAACACAAAAATAGCTATTACTTTGTTAGTTTTTCAGAAAACAAGCTGAATTTGGTGTTTTGGACCAAAACAGCTCCAGCTCCACCCTTTCCCAATATAAAATTATTTTAATTTTTATTTAGTGGCTTTGTGCGTGAGCAATCAAAAAATAATAATAATCGATCAACTTTTAATTAAAACTTTAGCAGCCATCACACCCCTATGAGGTTCAGCTGAAGCTGGCAGTGTCAGTAATGAACTGAAACTCTGCTCTTTTTTATTGTTTTTGTTATGTTTTACTAAATCAGCACAAACTAATCTCTATCCTTGATGAGCAAAAATAGAAAATATTCTAGTTGATTGATTAATTGAACTGTTACTGTTCTGTTTATGTTCCAGTAGTTGATTAAGAGGGCGTGTGCAAAAAAATTATTTTTCCTCAATGAAAAAACTGAAAGGGATCTGCATATTTCTCCTGCCACCGTTTATTTGAACTTTAATCTTTGTTGCCTGTAAATATCCTCTATTTATAAGCATGATTTACCTGAGTTGAGTCAAAGCTTTGGGGTTAAAAAGGTCACTGCTGTGAACTGTGCTGCAGTTGTTAAACCAGCTCTCTGTGTGTGTGTGTGTGTGTGTGTGTGTGTGTGTGTGTGTGTGTGTGTGTGTGTGTGTGTGTGTGTGTG